CCAATGGGAGAACTTTAAGCTTTTGGGCTATATATTTGGTCTATGATAGAAAGCTTGAACCTTTTTTGGGCCCGGGTATTGGAGAAGAGAGGTGATTGCGAACGCGGGCGTGGCCTCGGTTGCCTCGACCATCTTCGTGAGGGTAGCCTTGGGGACGCTCCTAGAGCGCTTTGGCCCCGTGACTTGGCAACAAGACCCACTTCCCGAACTTGCTAATTCATCTGCTAGTTATTACCAAGCGGTCAGCACCCCCAAGTGCCGCCATTGCCTGAGGTGAACGTTCAGTGCGGCTTAATGTCCTTCGGGGCTTTTTGGGTGGCCATGGCGGCCGCCATTACGGCTCCATGGAACTACACGCTGATACGTTTCTTCATAGGCCGACGGAAGTGTCCATGATGTCCATGTCACCCTTCCTGCAACAGAGTCGGGGGATGTCGAGAGACTTATGGTCAAGACTAGCAGTATTCTGTTGACATTGCTAACGGTGAGTTTTACAGCTTTCGTCATATTTTCTCAGACCAGTGGCTTTCGCTGTTAACAATATTGTGATTAATATTATGTTATTGTCATTGCTTTATTCTTATCACTACTGCTCGCGGTATCAAGTTGTAAAGAGTGCCAGTCTTCCTGCCGCCCCGCCCCCCTACCTCCGGCAGGTTGCGCTGGCGCCACATTCGTGACCAATCAGTTCTGGTGCTCGCTGATGTTTGCGCCCAACGTTGCCAGAGCTTGTTTCCGATAGACTTTTTCTGGTGCTTTTGACTGTTTCAGGTCCCAAAGAGCCTGTAAGCCGGTGTTTAGCACTTGCAGGTTGTCGGCACGGCCAACGCCACTGCCGCCGGTTGGGGCAACCTGGGAGGCGGCGTGACCCAGCAGCTTGCATGCGTTTTCACAAACTTGTCTGCACACTGTTCTTGAATGCGGACGTTGGCTATAATGCTTACAATTAGTGGCTGAGGATTTTTATGATGTCAGTACTTTTCAATCCTATGGTGGCCTCCGGAATGGAGCCGAATGTTGCTTGGCGTGTCTCCATGGTGGTGCCAGCCGTCATGTTCGTGGTTTGTGCCATCTGCATGAAGCTCATGATGCTCGGCTGATTTAAGATACGGTCTGCCTCATGGCTTTAGCCTAAGTAGGTTTTTCGAGAAGCTCGGCTGGACAATAAACTTCCGCTCCCAGGGCTTAGCCAAGGTG